ATCGATCATAGAAGTGACATTTTCAATGCCTAGGCGGTAAAAAATAAGTTTCTTTTTTTTGTAAATCTTACTCTGCACAAGCACCCGATAAAAAATACTCTAATAAATTAATTACAAAACAAAGTTACTACATCATTGCATGTATAAGGTTGTTTCAATTTATTCAAAATAAGCGCCATTTGAATCAGTACACTTTTGCCAACGTAACACACGTCGATTCATTCCGTCAGCAAAAAATACTGTGATCGGGATTCGATAAAGTCGGTGAAGACCGTTTTTGCCTGGTCCTGATTGGCGAAGGTTCTACCTATTAGAAAGTTATCAGAGTGCTTGAAAAGTTGGTTAGCGAGAGGTCTACGCACGGCTGGTGTAAACCTCTAAGTAAGAATGGGACAATTGAGGCTAAGCCAATGGCTTGAAGCGCTCACTGCGCAACCTCTGCTGCAGGCAACCAGTGATGAAATTGAACCCAGGTTTGTGTTTAATGAACCCTACAAAATTCAAATAAAACAGGACGCCGAGTCAGATGCTACAAATGCAATACGCATATATACAGACGGCTCAAAAATAGAAGGCTCAGGATGTGGAGTTTACTCCAGATCACTAAGCCTAAGGAATCAGTGGGGAATAGGTTCAAACAGAACTGGCTGGTATTTCAATCGCCACAAAAGAATTATAAAATAATGCCGTAAGAAATTCTACTATGAATCAGAGAATAGTAGATGTTAAGTAGAACATCTTCGTTACAAATCCGTTTCATCTACCTCAGAAGGAATATATGGGACGATATCTTTTTACATATATACTCGTTATGAGTGGACCAATTTAACGAGTCGTCTAGTTGTATTCCCAAGAGATTTACAGAACTTCCAGTTCCTATAATATTTTGACTGGAGACGATGATGGTTTGAGTTTTCAGTCTATTTAGTTTAAGCTTATTATAATTGTACCATATATCAGCTTTGTCTTCAATTTGGTTGATAGTCGTATGGAGACTATCAATATTTTTTTGGGATGAGAAATAGGTAGCATCAAATCAAAAGATGCAGTATTGCCAAGGTCACCCTGGGCGACCCTGGGAAGCTAGCGCCGAAGAAATATCTGGCGATGACCAGGAAAAACCTACGCTTAATAGTAGGATTTCTGACTGGTCACTGGCAACTCCATATTATGGGACTAGTGGACACACCTCTATGCAGAATGTGTCTATTCAGGATGTATCTGGCGATGACCAGTAACAGTAGTATTTCGGACTGGCCACTGTCAACTAAGAAAACACCTCCATATTATTGGGCTGGTGGACACACCTCTATGCAGGATGTGTGAACAGGATAATGAAACTATCAGGCATGTCTTATGCGATTGTCCGAAGTTATCGTCAATAAGAGAGTATGTGTTCGGCGAGTCTTGGCCTACACTTGCCGATATAAAGGAGATGTCTCCTAGTGATCTGTCCACCTTCCTGAAAAGGATAGGATGGACTATGACCTAGGAGGACAACTCTTCGGGAGGATGTACAATGGGTCACATGTGACCTAAGTGCTGTGGGCCTACACTCACTCTCCCTACTCTACAGATACAGAACCAGTACCGGCTTCTGCTGACGCAATTTTCGGTACTTTTTTTCGATTTCCTGACAATAGGACTCTGCTGTAGTGGTTTGGACCGGTTGCAGAAAGTTATAGTAAATCACGCCAGCCGTTGATCACCATACAGTAACCATTTTTTTTGTGGATTTCTCCCTTTGGGAAGTGTCTGGTTGGCTCATCGGTGTCCAACATCTGTCCTGAACGTCTCCCGTTGTCGTCAATGATCCACTTTTCAAATCAAAGAAGAACAGTCCTGCAAACGTGACATTTTATGTCAATCGTTCAAATCGTGGAGCACCCTATTTTCGAGCTTTTTGAACTTTCCAATACCTTTTAAACTATCAAAAACCCCATGGAAGCTGACGCCCAGTTTTCCGCCATCCTACGCACCGTTTGTGGGCCAGTCTCCACCAGAGTCTTCAAATCCTCCTCCTGGATTACTGTAGGTGGACGACTTCGGAGCTCATCTTCGAGGCTTAAATCTCCGGAACGAAATTTCGCAAAGCAATGTCGAACAGTGCGTTGATTAACACCATCATTGCCAAATGCCTGGTTAATTTTTCAGGCTATTTCGGCAGCGCTTTGGTTCAATTTGAATTCGTAGAGAAAAATTGGCCAAAAATCCCTTAACGACATCCTATAGTAATAAACCGGTCCGCCCAAAATGGCGGACTGGAATTATTTTAAACATTTCTGATTGATGTTATGTATTCAGATTACTTATACCTGCTATTTTCATATTCCTATTACAAAACATGTGTGAGTGTGTGTAAAGCTGAAAAGAGAAAGGAATATACGATTTTTAAATGGTTTTCCTGTCACAGTACCTACGAGACCAAAACAATAGTCTGAATCAAGGTCTATTCAAAATAACAAAAAGGGGGTACGAAATTAAAGGCATTACCTATTGTTTGGGTCTCGTGGCAAAAATATTATAATTTTTGTAATCATTACCGTGAATGAACCTTGAAAATACATTTCTCATTTGCTGGTGACATATATCAAGGGATCAGTTGCAAAGCCCCTTTTCGGCCCCTATATTTGATTACTCAAATGTGATCTTTATTCGTAATGTAATCACACGGACGTAGACCAAACTCCCATTAAAAATTTAGATGAAACGAACTCTAGTTGATTTTATATATTCTGAAAAACAATATACTCACGTAATAATTATTGATAAAATTCGTTTAAGATACATGCCATAACAATGTGGTCACTACTTCAAAATGCATATACTTTTACTAATAGTGAAAATCTCGTGTAGCGACTTGGGTCAATTTCATCAAATCCCTCAGCACTTTACTATTTATTCTGTGAGAATATATTTTATATTCCATTCCTCAACTCCGATATCCGGCAATTTAAATTTTCCGGTAAGCGGAACATCAGACAGGGTCATACCCAAAATGAAGTTAATATTTATAATTACGATCAGGGTTACCAATATGTGACGAAATCTCGAATTCATATAGATACCGATTTCCGTATAATGGAATTATTGTGAGGATTCCAGGAATTTTGGTTGGGGATTATTAGGATTCATTCGATAAATATTCGGGATTTTGACGATTTTGGATAACGATATAAAATTTACATACTTTCAGATATGAAATGCCCACTTTATCGATTGCGAAGAAAAACAATTATTCATATGTTACATGAGGATTGAAACCGTAGAAATGTGAGAAATGGAATAGGAATATGTCATTAACCGGTCTCAATATCTAAGAAATTGACGACGACTCATGTTTCTGTTTCTATCTCTCTTTGATGTTAAGTCTGGTGAAAATCTGTTTTACCGTTGTTTAACAAATAACTACTGGAGAATAAAAAATAGTCCACCTCTTGCAGAGGCCTTTATAGAGGTGAAGTCTATCGGAGCTTTGCCAACAACCGATAGGTTTCCTCTTCATCATCTTAACTTACAAGAAATAGTGCTCAAGCCCATTGTCTTAATTCCCCAATATTCGGAAACTCCTAGCGTAAATAATAACCTCATCAAAACCTTGCTGAGTGACTATAAGCCTAATGTAGAAATTATATACACTGATGGCTCCAATATTGAGTTGGGTACTGGGTGTGCTTTTTACGTTTCATCCACCAAAATGGCTCACAAAGTCTGAATATTTTATGATGCATCTATTTATACAGCTGAGATTTACGCGTTGCTCGTTATCCATGTGGATAACGAGCAACAGGGTGAGCGAATCAATTATCTTGTCAGATTCTATCAGTCATCCAATCATGAAAAAATATGACAATGTATTGCTTTGCAACATCAGAAGACACATACATACTATCATTTCTTCTTCAGGTAGAGTTAGATTCGTTTGGGTGAAAGGTCATGCGGGAATAATGGGCAATGAGTTGGTCGATCGCGCAGCTAAAGAAGCTACCCACTTAAGTGAAAAAATATATATATATACCTCTCTAGACTTAATAGCTAACTTAAAAAAAATTCAAAAGGACAAATGGCGAGATATATTGGACTATACTATCAAATCTAATAATCCTTATACACTGATTCACCCCATTCTTCCCAAGACAACTCCACATATTGAATTATATATACAGTTATATACATATATACAAGGTTTTATGCCGTCACAATAACACGGCTCAAACTCGATCACGGAAGTTTTCCCGCACATTTATTTAAAATAGGCGCACACAACACTAGGTTATGTACATGTGATGATAACTCTGTAGCGGATTTAAACCATTTATTTTTGGCATGTAAAAACCATGTTCAAGAAACACAAAACCTACTGTCCACACTTACATCTCTCAATATCCAACTCCCGGTAAGTAAACATTACAAACCTTCTAGCAATGGAAAACAAGTTGATCTGTGATGCACGATTAGGTTTGTGATAAAAAGTAAAATAATTGTATGACTGACTACCTATATCCTACACTCTGT